TCTTTTTTTCCATTTCTTTGTTTTATTTTCACTGACAGTTAGATGTTCTCATAATGTGACGTTTGTTTACTTCCGTCATAGTAACTTACATTAGTGTATTGTCAAAGGAAAAAATACCATTTTAGCACAGTTTTATTATTATAATAATGATTATGATCATTTTCTTTAAGAGGATAAATCATCTGTAAATGCAAAACAGGTCTACCATGTTTTTATTGTTATTTAAGAACTCCATTTAGGCTAATGGATTTAGCAAATGTAAAACAGCCCACCAAATACCAGACTTGAACATGTTTATTCTTTACAGTTGCTATTTAAAGATTTTCATTTTGTATATTAGAAAGAAATACCTGCTTTATTTGTGGTAATCCCAAGAATGATACATCTTTATGTTAAGAACTTTGTATTTTTGCTGGAGTTGATATAAAGATGTTTGAATTTTATGCATGTTGTTTTTTTGTTGTACCAGTGTTGCTTTATTACAGCCTCAACGGAGGTGCTCACACAAGTACATGAAAGTGAAATGAATTTCGGGGCTGGGGGGGCACTGAACTGTGTATTATCAGTATTTTAAAAATATTCACAAATCATCACACAGTCAGCATCCTGAATATTCACGTGAACTTGACAGTATGGTTAGTGTAGTTAACTAAACTAAATACAATTATTTTAGTAAAGTAAAATAACAACTTGAAAGCCACTGAAACAAAAATAGCAATTATTCAAAAGCTGTGAGAAAATCTGAAATACAGTTGTGGCACTTTAGGACCTTGGATGCTTCCCCCTGATGGTAAATTTTTCAACTTTGTAGTTAACACAGTATTGATGGCATTTTACATAAATGGGACCTGCCATACGGCCAAAGGGCAATAGCCCCAATGCCCACAGGAAGCTCCCACTGTGCTGTTGGACCGATTGGTAAACAGTTGGCCTCCATAACCTTTGTCAGTGTAGAAAACAGTGAAGGCACTATAACCTGTGTGACACGAAGTAGTTAATTTATTTACCCTTTTTGGTGATATGCAGTTAGGTCCCTTTTCCAATTGAAGGACACGCCACCTTAGTAAGTCAGTAATTGGTTACTACCAAATCTTTAAAAAACAAAGTTTTGCCAAGTAGAGCCTACACCTGAAAACAAGGCATAAAATCAAATCGGCAACTTCCTGTTCTCTTTTCGGCATCAGCCATAGCTTTTGTGTGGTGCAAATGCACTGAAGTAAAATCACTGTCCATTTCATCAGCTTTAGGGTTGCTAACCCAAAACAACAGATGAGTTATAAATAAATAAAATATGTTTCCAAGTCATTGGGAATTATATCATCAGGTCCAGAAGTATTTTTATTTAAAAAAACAAAAACAAATCATTTTGCCCCTGTACACCACCACACTGGATTTGAAGTCACACAAAATAGATGTGAATCTACAGGCTTGCAGCTCAAATGGTTTAACGAAAGTATAGTATTAACTGTTTAGGAATTATTTTTTTTATATTTTTAGTCCCCCATTCTCACAGGCTCAAAATTATTTGGACAAAATGATGTAATTTTTAATGTAAGTTTGATGGAAATCTTTGCAGTCAGTGACTTCCTGAAGTCTGGAACCCATGGACTTCAGGAATGTTTCCATCCTTGAGATAGTCCGTCAAGGCCTTTATTGCAGCCACATCAGCTTCTGCTTGTTCGTGGGGACCTCTCAGCTTTCACTTATGTCTTGAGTAACTGAAAGCATGTTGTGTTTGATTGAGTTAAGGTTAGTGATTTGGCCATGAGAGAACAATACTTTTGCTGCCATTGGGGGAAAAAAACAGTCTCCCCCTTCTTGCATCAACATCCCTTTGGAAGTCATATTGAGAATTCCAGTGAAGTGCTGCCAAATGCAATTTCAAAACTTGGAATTGAAAATTATGGTGTTGTACAGAGGCAAAAGTGTGTGATTTTTTTTTTTAAAAAGTGTCACTGTTTCAAATACAAACTTGTAAGATTTGCCAAGTAAAAGAAGGAAATGATGGAGACAATTTTTAAAAGCACACACATTTAAGTTTAATTAATGAAAAGAGTGGAGTTTTGGTAAACATTTTGTCGGTGGCAATACATACATTCAGCATTATTGAGTTTTCAGTTCAATCCCACCATCAGTCCTGTAACATAAACGCAAACAGACAGAACCCAGACAGGGATATTTCTTAGTTTTTGCACCATTTCAATACAACAGAGACATTGTGTTGTTCACAATAACATTTATGTATATAGTTCATAGGATGGAAGAAAACTGTGTTTCTGGTCATGTGACCAGTAACTGAATTACATCTCAATATAGCACAAGCACCACTAAGATGTCTACCAGGAAGTTGAATGCACCAGTCCAGTACAGATTAGTGCAGAGGAAGGAAAGGAGACATGGAAAGAAAGTCACATTTGACTAAACGCGCACCTTTACGAGGCACACAGCCTAAGTATTACAGTGACTGTTCATCAGTATCCTTTATGGGATCTTTAATGTTTTTGTACACCACTGGGATCACAGCGACAGCATGTAAAACAAAGTTAACATGGGTAGCAATATGAATAGGAGCTCCGTGATGCAACGCTGTATGAACTGAGATCTGCAGCCTTTCACACTATAAAGAGACTTTAACAGTTAGATCAGCAAAACGGATCAAACACAATCCCGATCTGCAGAGAGAACAACACCTTAACGCCATCCCGATGGACTGTCACTTATTTGACAGGATGTGATTTCTATATCTTACATTGGAAACTAAATAACAGCTAAAAGTTACCACTTCATGAATAAGCATAGGTCGTATTTATCTATACACATTTATACATTCAGGTATGACGTTCACTGTAATTGGCACCATTGCTTTCTTTTCTTTTTTTTTTTTTCGTATGGATTACCACTTAAAACTGACAGATACTGAAAATGTCCAGACCGTTCTCGTTTACTTATCTGTCAGTAGTAGGCATGTAATGCTTCACACACAGTTGCCTTTTCAATGCAATCTTGGATGACACACCTTGATAACATGATCATTGTCCACAGAGGCAACTTCATCCTGTTCCTTCTGGCTTGACAGCAGCTTATGATCAGTTGAGCTTGACAAAATAAAAAAAAAAAAAAAAAAAACTTAAAAAAACAAACAAAACAAAACCCACCAGCTCACAAATTCAAATGACAGAAATGCAACTCGAGCACTTCAATCCAAATGAACACGGAAACAATCAGAAGTCTTTTAAGTGTGATGTGTTAATTTCAAGGGAAATTTGAGGTGGGGGACATCTCTTAATCTCAGCTCTGAACTCTCCGGCCCCTGCAAGCAAACCAGGAATGTCTGAGCCAGAGAGGAAGGTCAAACACTGCTATGAAGTGATGTTACAAATACAGTTTTTTACGTAATTTATTTTTTTAGTTACCTTTTTAAATCTTTTTGACATTTTTGATCTTCACTTTCTACAGGAAAACGCCATTAGATAAAATAAATAAAAACAAGCACAGACTCTCAATGAATTAATGTAATATTCACATGGAAGACAACATATACAATATTAAACATATTTCTAGACCAATACTGCCTTCTATACAAAAAGGCCAACCAGCTGCTGCATTTTTTTTGGCCAATTAAATGTAATTAATCACCTTTTGGAGCATGTGAGATACAACAAATTAAAAAAAACAAAAAACACCTAGGGAACCAAATGAACGCCTTTCCACCAGTCCCAAAGCTTCAGGAAACAGACTTACTCTTTAACATAGAAAAATACTATACCAAAATGAAATACAAATATATATATATTAGAATCTGTTAGGCATTTCTATATAAAGGGTTGTAGGGGAGGGATGGGGCAGCTAAAGGAGTTAGGTTACATCATGACACAAAAATATAACAAAAACAAATTATGAGAAATGAAACAAAACAAAATAAAAAATAAAACAACAGAGCATGATTCTGCAACGTTTTTGTTTTGTACATTTATAAGGATATTAAGAAGCTCTACATATTTGTTAGCAAACTTCTCCAAACATGCAACAGTTTGCACAAGTTTAATACTGCAGGCATCAAAAGGAGCAGGACTGATTGGCCTCCTACTCACTGGGGTGGAGTAGGTTGGGGGTGGGATTATGCAAATCATCCTAACCCTGAGGCAATTCATGCTGGGGGCTGATAAGCACTGGGCACTGTCAGCACCGGATGGGTTCTCTGATTGGAATAGTTTGGCACAAGCCTTCCCGTGTGGCGTTTAGACTGTGCAGAAAATGTGTGTATGCCATGCATGTGTGATTATGTACTTCAGAGACGTGCCTTGACTGCTGTTTTCAGTGCTGCTAGTCAGCGCAGTCTCTTGTTTATTTCTTTTTTTAATGGAGTTTCTGTTACGGTACCTCACAGAAATCAACTGTGACACTAGACCACCCTAGCCTCGAAGCCACGGCGTCTGCGCCGCTCTTAATCGTACGATTTCTTCCTTGCTGTTCACTTCTACGTGTGCGTGTGTGGATGGATGACTGTATCCTGGCAGAGAAACTGCTACACCAAACCAACAACAACTTCAACTCAACTCAAACCATGTCCAGCCCAGTCCAGGCAACCCAGCCAAGCTCAACTCAAAACAGCTTTGCCAAGTCAAAATTGTCCAGCTCTCCTCTTAGCCTTCTGCTTTTCCCAGGCCAGACCCCACTGTTCTCTCTGCCTCCACAAAGTAAAGATGGTAGATGGTGGCTGGGCTGTCAGAGGCCTCAGAGATGGATGGGGAATTCACACTGGGTGACTCGGGTTGAAACAATGTTGCGGATACAATGGTTTGCTGCTGTTGTCGCACCTACGTTGTTGCCCGTGATGTTGGTTTCTCTGTTTTACTGTAGGTCAAACACCCTTAGAAGGGGAGGAAATATACTATTTTACAAACACTGTTGTCCATAATATATAGATAGAGGTTTTATATATATTCTTTAATATCTCTCTTTCTTTCTCTCCCTCACTTTCCTACTGTCTTCTCTTTCCTTTCTTTACTTCCTTTCTTTCTTTCCATCTTCTGCTCGTCAGCAGCAGCAGGGAACGGGAGTGAACTGTGCTACATGCAGCCCACGCAACCGCACTTGATGGTCTTTTCCACCTCCTCGCTGAAGGTGGTCCCATCGCTGCATTCGAAGGTGTATTTCCGACGTTTCATCCTCTGACTGGCGCAGCAGGCCCCTGTGTCGCAGGCTCCAGTGCACTCCACCCAAGAGACCATGCGTGTCGTCTGGCAGATAGCGTATCCCCGCTGGACCTGGTAGAAGTCTCGCACAGGTTCCCCTCTGCACTCAATCTCTAAATAAAAAACAATGG